TTTATCAATAAATTTATGGGCAATTACATATCAATACAGTTACATATTAGAATCTGCCAGTAATGACACATTATATGAGTTCTTTTCAGACCGGAACGAGAATTACAACAAAAGTCAGAAAAAAAAATGAAAGTGGAATATAAAATTGGCGAGATTTCCAGACAGCATTACCTCAAGCGAAAGGCCTTCATAGTGGTTATGCCATACATGTACAAATGTACAATGACGTTTTGTTTTATCCATAAAATAATGGTTTAAACTTTTTTGAAATGTTTTATTCAGTAAAATAGGTTTAAAATTAAAAAAAAAATAGTAAAAAAAAAAAAAATACATGTACTGCTTAAAGTCCTAACACCCCCTCCCTCCGATAGGACCTGTTATACATGTTGCTATTTATGCAAAAGCCGCTGGCTAACGAAAGATGTAATGTAGAATTTTTTGTCTACTTCTAAATGTAGCAGTAATATAACTTTTTTGTAGCAGTAGTTTTGTGTGTAGCGGAATTGACAATTTTGAAAATGTAGCGGTAATGATACACCCAATGCTAAGCATATTCATGTCTTTTTTATGGTACCAGACTGAAATTCATAAAAAGCAAATCATTTGGAATACTTTCAACATAGGTATGTATTTTTTTATTAAACCTCGACACAGCTTACATATTAGAATTTCGTACACAAAAGAAAGTGCAGAAAAGGGGGGGGGGGGTAAGTGTTGAATTTATTAAAACAAAAATTACATCATAACTAAACAACAGTATACCTAGCTATATGTACCCCTTTGCAAAAATTTGTCATTTCAGAATTTGGCCAATCAGAGGATATTACGTGTACATTGTATATAACAGACGCATAACTGCATGGACACGAACCACAGGCACTTGTTTCGGAAATTAATTTTAACCCTTAGTATATATTATACTATGGTTTAAAAATTAATTTCTGAAACAAGTGTCTGTGACATTAACATAGAAGTCTGATTTCCAATTGAATTAATCTTTTCTATAAATTAAACGGCGCGATTTATTAAAACAACACATAAAATTACATGTATTTCTTATCACGCGCGATTTATTTACTAGTATTTGATTAAAATAAATGAATAGACCGACAAATCATTTTCACAATTTAACGAAATTCGGATTAAAATTGTTTTTTATTTTAACCAAAATGCCCGGAATTATATTATTACATTAAAGGTTACGCTTCGGTGCCATTTCACTCGTTGATAGTGGTCAGTCAAGTTTCTACTTCGAATTCCGGGCATGTGTTGCCCAATAATTGATCGCTGACTGGTTATGAAAACAACATTGTTTAAAATCACCATTTGAAAAATAAATTAAAGAATAATTTCCCAATATTATAGTCTAACTGGGTTGTGTATTTATTTTTGTATGGGGTTGGGGTGTGGGTGGGGGAGTGGTGAGGCTCATATTGACTACTTGTACATGTATAAGTATGTCATTTATCTATTTAACGCCTACCCCCACCCAACTGACATCATCCCGAAATAATTACCACCGGAATTCCTGGAACTGACCCTGTCTTATTTCATGCATGCGAGTTTTATATTATTTTAATAAGCAGCATATTTTATGAGTAAATGATAAAAAACCGTTCAACATTGGGATTGAAAAAAGGGTGTATTGTTTCAATTAAAATAAAGATTTTATTACCAATGCAAGACAGATTTCTTTCCAAATGTTTTTACAAACATTCTATGGAGTATTGCTTAATGTGCAATCTGTCTACAGTGTATCAAATTATTGTTCTTAAAATAATTGTATTTTCGTAAATAATTGCTTTTCAAATGTTTGTCTTCATCATATTTATATATAGAAAAAAATATTCTACATTATTGGGTAGATTCTGGTTTATTGTCGTTCTCGCGTTTTTATTTTCACATTTGGAAAAATGTATCAGATTTATACTGTACAACCAAACAACAAAATTGTTGCTTAATTTAAAATGAAATTTTAAATATAAAATAAAATGACTTTTGAACTCATCCTGTATACTTACAAAACAATTTTTGCCCGGAAGTTGCACCTTCTCAGGTGTAAATTTTCTGTTGTCCAACATGAGAGAAATGTAAAACAAACAACTCACATACCATGCATTGATAGATAATATTTATAACAATTTAATATTTAAAAAAAAAAAAAATGAGAAAAAAAGGCTCTATATCTTTGATGGATACTACTTAAAACAACTAAAAAAAACTATAAAAAATGAGTCCTTACAATCATATTAGGAACGTTACAAAAAATGTAGTAAATGTTTGACGTAACGTTAACCTGACGTTATGATTCCACTGTTACAAAATAGAAGTATCATTGATATAAACGAAGAAAAAAACATACTTAGAGATGGATTAGAACCATAAAAATTCATATTTGACAACTCCTGACCTTGTTCTATCAAAATTCATGAAGAACTCAAAATGTGTAAAAATTGCCATAAGGACCCTTTTCTCATGGGCGCAATCATATAAGGGAAAGAAAATAAAATATATTGCGAAACTAGTTTTTAACAAGTCAAGACTGATATCATAGTGGGTGGGGAGTGGTCCATTTTTTACAAAAATCAAGGTGCATAGCATCTTTTGGGTGGATGGGGGTATTGCATACATATGTAATTCGATAGCTTCCCTTACTCCTACTCACATGACGTATGCTCTAACTTTTAGTAATTTACCTTCTTGAGTTTATCCCGGCCTAAATTTGCATGCTATCTGCATAAAATCTGAGAATACCCAACGGAAGTAATATTTTTGTAATGAAAAAATTACTATATCCAGGTTTGAAAGGTCAACGAATGTTTTGAAATGTCCTAAAAAATATAGCTTTCAAGAATTATGTGCGCCTCAAATATAATTTTCATTTAGTAAACAGACCTTAGCTAATGAAACCGAGACATTCATCAACTTATTTGATTTTCAATTTATACAATGTATACAATTCAAACAGACCCTCGGAAGATACACACAATAATATATGACGAAACGCAAATATAAAACTTACAATAGAGACTCTCTCGAAGCGAACCATATTTTCCAGTTTAATTAAGTGAGTATTGTCAATTCGAACGTCAAAGAAAAAAAGCAAAAATAAAATTGAAGAAATCAAAGATATGAATACGAGGGACGTTCAATAAAGAATGTCATTGGGACTCGGAAAGAAACAAAAAACGCTTTTCTATGACTTAGTCTTAATGATTTAACTAAAATATTCTCTTTCAATTAAAACGCATATCCGTAACATTTTCATTCAATTTCTAAGTATTTTTGAGTATGACCCTTCGTATACTGGAATATGGCAGATCCTATGATTTGCTGTACTTGTTTTTTCTTTCTGATAGATGTTTTTCTAAGTTTAGGAAATGAAACAAGTCAAAGGTTGAAAGATCTGGCAAATTATGTTGTTTGTTGGTATTTGTTGGTGTTTGTTGGTGTGACAAAACATTAACTTTCTGTTTATCCCCAAAACTCCTTTACTCTTCATGGTCTGTGGGTTTGGACGCCGTCATGAAGACATTTAATGTAGTTAATTCCTCATTCTGTTTCCTTCCTCTCATAAACCTTTCAATTTTTATTTCAAAAAATTGTTTTCTAGACTCCTCCAGAAATTGAACTTCCTCATCGAATATGAATTTGAACAACAAGCCTGCTAATATTTAAGAAAATAGCATATAAAACTGCTTTATGCTCTTGCAATTCTTTGCTCTTCTTAGGCATTTGCAGTTTTGTCAAGTACATTTTATTGTAAATTTGTTTTGAGGGCTTTAAGCCAAATGGATTTAAGTTTCATTATCTGTTAGAATTTCATATAAACGTGGATAAGTACATTTTTTTTATTTTTTAAAATAATGTTTGGATATTCCTACACGCTGTCGTTTTCACTCATTTTCAAAATATAGGGTGACCTTTGAGTATTAAACTTTTTAATTATAAAATGTTTCTTTAAAACAGTATGAACTATCACCAAAATGATTTTTATCAATTTTGCTATGCGTCTTAAAGTCAATAAAACATAATCAGTGATAATTTGTTGAAATTTCGCAAATTTACATCGGTTGTTGTAAATCATTGTTGCCAAGGACGGTACCAATTTTTGATGCCCATAATATAATTTTTGTTTATTGAAATCTACATGTTCACCTTTCTATAAAACAGGCATTGGTTGCTGTAAATTTCACATATTTCAGTCAATATATTTTTGGGATATTAACAAGTTTTACAGCTGCTTTAATGAAGCGTTTAATTTTACTCTAGTTTGCTGATTCTTGACCATTCATTTTTAATGCAAGTGTCTCGAATAGCCCTTGTTTTCCAGCTTCCCACGATGAAATAATGCGATGAAAAGTGGTCAACCAAACTGTTATCAATTCATTAAAGTTTCAATAATGATAGAAAGTCAAGCTTTATGTCATATGACTACTATGCTGTATGTCATCGAGCTAATGACATTATTTACGTCCCTCGTATTTCCCTGAAAATACAAGACAGGCACTTGTTTCGTAAACGGGGCACCCCAACTTATTTTTACCACAAGGTACTTCGGTATGAAATACTCGGAAGTTTCTAGTTTTACCCTACATCTATAACACCTACCGGAAATAGATGCATCTCATTCGATGTTTATTTTGTATCGAGGTAATTTTTGAGGAATAAATTCGTGGTTTACAATAAAGAGGCTCGGCCAGAGACTTCTGAAATTATTTAATTGAGAAGAAAAAAGTCTCTCGAAACAAACGAGTTCATTTTAAAGTAGGTTAATGATTGATATGCTAACAAAATACAAGCTTAAAGCGGGGGGTGCCTGAATTTGAGTCAGGAACCTTGTTGTAAAAACAAGTAGGGGTGCCCCGTATACGAAAGGTACCTGTGAAATACAAGGGTTTAACTTTGTCTGTTTAATACCCTGGTATGTAAAGGCATCAAATACCCGTATACATCTTGATGGTGTTCGATTTGTCATGGTTCCGTCCTCAGGTGGATTCTCATTCACTGGGTGTTTCGGTGTTGTCCACTACAACCTCCAGAGGTACATCGACTAAGAAGATCAAATCCCAACCCGGAATCACCCAGCTCTCTGCCTTCATTGCAACCGACTGAATGTTCATCACCATCACAAAAAATCAGAGAGTCAGTTTTAGTGTTGCACTTGTCACTGCTCTTTTTGCTTCTTCCAGATCCACATGGATTATCATATATTCTTTGTTGAAAACATTCTAATTGCAGGACTACGATGGAGCACAGTTTGAAGCATTTTAAGTCTACACGATTTTCATTTTTACCAAAATGTTTGGTAAAGCAACTGGAAATTATTGATACATGTACATTTTTTATGCACTCTATGCTAAAAGTAAATAACTGAATAACAGCCCTACAAAAACGCCTAATTTTTGTGGAGAGCTAAAATTGCTTTTTTATAATTATGCCAACCATATGTCTGCTTATTGGCCAGGTGTAGGGTAGCAATCGGTTACCAAATTTACTTAGGTGATCTATAAACATTGATGGTTTTAATAAGATGCAGATCGATGACCACTGTTAAGTGCGTTTAAAAAAAACTTCGTTGCGAGAACATGCACAAAACCTAAAACGGGAGGGGAAAGCTAGCCATCAAAATAATTCATAAAGATATTTATAATTTTTAACATAACAATATCGTTTAGAATATTAATTTAGTGAAGCACGAACCGATCTCAAACCATGTATAGAAAATCAAAATTCCGCCAAAATCAGTGAAGCGGAATGAAATGCAAATCTGATCTGTAACTCATCATGATACACTCACATATCAAAATTAAGCTCAATATCTGCAGGCGTTTAGAAAAAAAGTGCGGAAAACCAAAACGGACAGATGGACAGCTAGACAGACGGACAGACTCAGAATTAAGAAACCTAAGGTCTCTTCTGGATTCACCGATAGGGGATTAAAACGGGAGACAATTCTAACTTAAAGTATACTAGTTCCGAATGTCAACATGGTGTGTAAATGTGAAGCGAGAAAAAGACGTCGAGAAAATGAGTTGAATTTTCGTCCTCATGTACATTCCTGTTTAAGGTTAAAAGCAGATAAAATTTCAAACAGATAAGATTATTCTATCTAACTGGCAAACCATAGATCAAATTTGATTTTTGGTACAAAATTGTTTTCTAAACCCTTTTTAAGCTGTTCAATTTCAAAGCATCTATGTACATGTTTAATGGCATTCAAACACGACCTTCTTTGTAAAGCAGATTGACTTATATTGATTCCAATATATTACAATCATAAACAAGTACTTTAAATGACATCCTGATGAGAAAAGGGGATCCCGGTAGGGGACATTTTATTGCTAATGCAATACTCTCAGAATGCTTATTATATTACATCTACTGAATATTATTGCCTTTATTTCTTATGAAAACCATTGCCCGTTTTAATATCAGCCAGTAAAGTCATCTGCATAAGTTTTAGCAATAGCTTTTCCATCTTTTGCGGATAATATTTTTTGTGCAACAACAGCAACATTAATTCTTGTACTAACGATCACAGAAACCATTTTATCTAAATCGCATCAATGCAAAATACACATTAATACTTGACCATCGTAGTGAGTTTTTCATACCTGATTTGAATTCACACAAATGCATAAAATTCAACAACATGTATTTCATAGTTGCATATTTATGTATAAGAACATCATAAACTTAAGTGTAAGTAATACAGTAATAAGATAAAGTAGATATAACGATCTACTAGTATATAAGGGAAAATTATTTGGTAAACCATCTTATTAGATGCTATAGCAACTAGTATTTATTATGACCATAACTTCAATATAAATTAAAATATCATGGTTGATATATCCATTTATTAATCAACAAAAAAAGAGAGAGAAATCCTTTGTAAACCGCCTTATGAGATCCTACTGGACGTCAACAACGGCTCGCCAGAGACATTTTTGCAAGAAGATAACAATTTCAACCGGATAATAATAAAAACAACTCCAACAGCAATCACAAAAAAAGAGACAGCTAATATTGCCAATAAAGCGAAGACCACGTTCCAACGAGTAAAGTCCATCCTGAAAAAAAGTTAAAAAGAGAATGGTGACAACTCTGAAAAGCTAGTGGTATCTTTTGTTTCAGTAGTATTTTATCTGACATGCTTGACATATTTTATGCAACTTTTGATGCAAAGTTAAAAATTATCTGTAAAATATGAGTTGAGAAGAAAAAGTGTTGATTTACTGACATATATCTGTTTTGGTGTTCGATCTTGTCTGTTGAAACTTCTTTTGAGCTGCTCAGAATGTCATAGCAACTTTGATCTAAAACAAGAAGGGTGAGGATCATACATGTACCTTGTAACAATTTATACCTAGGAATGATAGGCTTTGCTGTTTATTATAACTTACTACACTGATTTGTTAAAGCTGATAAATGAACTAGTTAAAAACTATCCAAAACTAAAAAAGAATGCATGTATACACTTACATTTATAGATATCTGTTGATATGTACCTTACAGGACAGGTTTCACAATGGTTTTCCAAACTGGACTGAATGACTCTACCATGAACATTATATTCAGCACATCTTTTACCTAGAATATTTTCGTTCATTATAGAAAGTTGATACCGAAAGAGAAATAATACATGTATTTTACAAGATGTGCAACACTATGCGACCGACGGCATCAAAGTTCGAAAAAGCTATTTTTAGCAAAAAGGTCACAGTCAAGGTCACAAGGTAATTTACCTCGGTGTCAGGTTTGGGATAATGCTAATTGTTATGGTAATGCTAATAATGTGTAATGCCCAAAAATTTGCATTACATGTAATGGTAATATAATGCATTACTTCATAAAATCCAGTGTAATGCTGGCATTAAACAGCATTAATATTACAAAGCATTATTTTGCATGTACCTATTTTAAGAAATTAAAATGGACATGGATGATGGAAATTATTGTTTAGGTTATTTTTTTTTATTCATTTATTTTTATTTTTTATTTTTTGCAAATGATAAAATTGAATTAAAAGTATTTAAATAAAATTTCTGTATCAATTTAAATACACTTTTTATTCTGTTGAAAGTAGACTTACTTTACATTTACGTTTTCAAACTTATTTCAGATAAAAGAGATTTCAAATAACTATATAAAATATTTTTAAAATATCTTTTTTAAACAATCGCACATGAGCTACACTAATAAATGTACAGGGTAAACTAATAATTGCCTCAATTTGAACTGCTAGAATGTCACACCATGCCTCTGGATTATGTAACAAAACAATGCTTTCTTTGGAGAAATGCTACAAATTACCAGTCCCTTTCTCCTGACCGTGTTTATAAAACGTTAATTGAGCTGGCCTAGTTTGTACTGACCATGAATGATCCATTGTACCAAAGAAAATAGAAGACATGCAGGAATTCTATGTTTAGCAGATCAACATGTACATCCTGTCTACTTTTTCCGAAAATTTGTCAATGCATTTATTTTTTCATAAGGTACTTATAAAAATAGCCTATATGCTTTATTATTAGATATTTTAGGCAGGGGTTAAAGTGCCCCAAAAGTTAAACTTCCTCATGACATCAATATATGCACGAAAAGTGGACATTGTGCATGTGTTATATAACTGACAATTTAAAAGCTTGAACTTTCTGTGAATGTAATTATTGACAGTGTAATATGTACAAAAACTTGAAATCAAATTTCAATTACCATTTATCATGTTTAGTTTTGAAGAGGGTGGATACATGCTTAAGAAAAAAAAATGCAAAGTTTTGAATAAATTTCTATTTTAAAAATCCTCCAAAAGTAATGGTAATGGTAATGCATTACTTTAACAAAATAGAGTAATGGTAATGGTAGTTTAATGCCCATATAGTTGAAGTAATGGTAATGTAATGCATTACATTACAATGTTATTCGCCCCAAGCCTGATCGGTGTCATTTGAAAGAACTTAATTAGTGGAGTATGCATACCAATTAAATATAAAGTCTTTATCTCCTATGGTTCAAAAGTTATGGCGAAAGTTCGAAAGGGCTATTTTTAGCATATAGGTCACAGCCAAGGTCACAAGGTCATTGACCTTGGTGTCATTTGAAAGAACTTTAAAATAAGTAGAGTATGCATATCAAATATGAAGTCTGTATCTAATATGGTTCAAAGTTATGGTGAACATTTGAAAAGGCTATTTTGGCATATAGGTCACAGTCAAGGTCAGTGTCATTGACCTTGGTGTAATTTGAAAGAACTTTATTAATAGTGGAGTATGCATATCAAATATGAACTCTCTATGTCTAACGTTTCAAAAGTTATGGCGAAGGTTAAAGTTGACAACAAACAGATAAATGGAACAAAAACAATATACGCCTCGGATCTATCGATCCCGGCGCATAAAAAATTTACAGTTATCTCACTTGCTTTCTGGGTGAAGTTTGCCAGGAGTGCGTTTTGTCAGTGCAGTCTTAGAAAAGAATTTACATACTAAAACTAGTTATAACATTTAGCTCTCCGGTTTGTCAATAATTTTTTCCGGAGAACTACAGTTCTAATTATTTTAATCATGCGCCAAGATCGATAGATCCGGGGTGTATATTGTTTTTGTCCTGTCTGTCTGTCTGTTTATCTGCAAACTTTAACCTTCCCCATAACTTTTAAACTATGAAAGATAGAGACGTCATATTTGGAATACATACTTAACTAATTAAGTTCTTTGAAATGACACCACGGTCAATGATTTGTGACCTTGACTTGACTAAATATACTAAAAATAGCTTTTTGGTCAGGAAACTTTACCATCGCCATAACTTTTGCACCATGAAAGATAGAGACTTCATATTTGATATGCATACTCCACAAATTAGGCTATTTTAAATGGCACCAAAATCAATGACCTTTAAGCTCTTTTTAAGGTCAATGACCTTGACTGTGACATGTATGCTAAAATCGTTTTTTGTACCTCACCATAACCTTTGAACCATAAGAGATAGAGACTTCGTATTTAGTAGACATACTCAACTATTCAAGTTCTTTCAAATGAAACCAAGGTCAATGACCTTGTGAACTCGACTGTGACATATGCTAAAATTAGCGTTTTTCGAACTTTGTTGCCGCCGGGTGCACAGTGTTTCACAAATACATCTTTTTATCATGACTTTACTGGTTTCAAAATGTAAGTTAAGTTAAAAAAAAGATTTTGCCATGATAACTAAAATTGAAAATTCTGTAAAAATTAAAAGCTACTTCTACAGTTGCAGTCTTATTGCAGTCTTGCCACAAAAAGAGACTTAATCAAGGGATATTATACTTTAATGATGTTATAAAGTTGAAGTCCCAACTGGAACTTTTCTTTTCCTTTGTTATAAGTACAAACCAGTAGAGCTACAGTCTCGACAGAGACTTCTGGTTATCGTTTCAGTGGACTTGTGAGCTTGATTTCTGATTGTTATATATATAATATTTTTGTTCAGTCTTCCTTTGTTATAAGTACAAACCAGTAGAGCTACAGTCTCGACAGGACAGAGACTTCTGCTTATTGTTTCAATGGACTTGTTAGCTTGATTTCTGATTTTTATACCTTCATGTTCCATTCTTTAAATATTAACATTGGCGATTTTTTGTTCAGTCTTCCACATACCTAGTATATATGTTGCAGGCATGCAGACTTCGTAGGTTGCATTCAAAAACTCGTTTGGCAAGCAGTGATAAACGAACGTTAAATTTGAACTTCCAAATGCAGCACAGGTATTTTGAGGCACATAACATCCTTTTAAATGTTCCCTCTCTCTCCATGCCTTAATAGATTTAGGGCATGATGTTACTTTCATATTTTGTTGACAGGTAGTCGATAATGTTATTGTGGCCTTTCAAAAAAATACACAGCATACGATATAAAGTAAAAACAGGCATAAAATACATAGGATGTAAAGCATGTTAAAGTGATGTAGAAATTACCTGAAAATTAAGAATGATGCCAACGATGACTGTAATTGAAGATCTCATTTTATCTTTTTTTCTTTATAATTTACCTACAAAAGAAATTCGCATATATAGTCTCGTATCATAAAGTTATGGGGAAGGTTAAAGTTTTAGCGGAAAAACAGATAAACAGACCGACAAACAGACGGACAGGACAAAAACTGTATTGCCCCGAATCTTCGATTACGGGGACATAAAAATTATCTCAATTTGCAGAAACTTGAATCAGCAATAGCTTCAACAGGAACCTTCTTTTGTACATGTTTGGTAGTTTATGAAACCACCTGCCATTTAAGCTATCTCATTCACTGCAAATAAGTGAAATTTTATCAGTTTTCCAGGTTATGAAGGGGATGTCAAATACCGGTATAGCGAATGAAACAATTATTTCTTCCTCTCTATTTTGATTATTGTACTTCCTAATTTATAAGCTTTAAAAAATCAAATGATCATTTTAGCATCAAACTGTTTTAACAGACTGGACTGGAATACTAATTGACATATATTTATATTTCCTTAATATTTCAAATTGAATGTTAAATTTTCAGATAGGTCATATTCAATCTGAGTAGAACAGGAAGAAGTTGAAATATATATTTTATGTCATGGATCCAAGTGCCTGTTTAAACAAGGTTCCAAAAATGAAAATTTTTTACCTGGTTTTATGTCAGAGTTTCATAGGAAGTATTTCCAAATCACTTTGTAGGAGGTAAAATTTATTCTTATTTATGTTAAAGTTAAGAGAAAGAAGAGTTTTACCTGATTTTCTAAACTGACTGTAAATATTTTCAGCAAGGAAGGCAATGTTATATGCTGTCTTGGATACATCTGGGACTATCAATTAGAAAACTGCACAGGTAAGAATTTAGGGAAAAATAAGCAACAAAACCACAATATCCGATTCATAGTTTTTGGAGCTACTGAAAAACTTTTCGTTTCTGAAGAATTACATTTAGCAGATCAAAATGTCTGTTGAATTATGATCTTAGTCTGGTGTGCTAATGTAGTTTATATTTACTTCACTTCATACGTGAAACTTCTACACACCCCTCGATTTTCCCTGTTTAATTAGTACCTAAACACAAAATAACATACCAAAGCTCGCGCATGCGCTAAACACCGTATGCCTTTTGGAAGGCATATCTAGCCTCAGCTTCAATTTTTCAGATTACTTTTAACTGTTTATGCAGTGATGTTTTATTGCGACAGTTAAATTCATTATTCATTCATTTGAAAGCTGGTTAGTTTTAAGTTGTCAGTTAGGTGTAAGGCTGTCTAAAATAAATTCTACGTTTAACGTCACCCGCGCGCGTAGGTTCCGGCGAAATTGCCGTTTTAAAAAAGCAAACAAATCGGAATTTGATTAGTCGTTCCGGTTTGGTTTTTCATTTAGCGTCTTAACTTTATATCCCGTTTGAGAGGAAAACGTGCACTATCTGAGCCCGTACGAAGAAAATGGGAATATATGCCACGATTAAAGTGAAGGAAACGTACAAAAATGGTTTGAATCGAACAATTATGGATCATTTTATGATCGAAATCGATGATATCACCAAATTTTTAGAGTGTTTTATGTCAGTCATTAAGTCACAGAACCTGGGCTCTTCGTTGTTTTTGCACAGATTAGACCTACCTTCGCCCAAAGACGAAGTTCGCTGCTTTATATCTAAAGTAAAGGACAAAGATGAAATAAGAATGAGTCCGTCATTATGCATTAAGTCAGTACTTGAGACCCATGGTTGTCAATTTCTTCTATTTGAAATAGTTAGAAATGATCATGATGCAATCACACCCACCACTGCATCTAATTCAAATGCATTCAACATTCTCATGAAAAATGCAAGATCCCAAGCTTTGGCATCACGCTTTTATCCATTGAAATATGCTAACCCACAGAGGGGTGACTGGGTTTTATTTAATGATATTTCTGGTTTGTTTGAAAAGGAGGGGGCATATTTTAATAGTAGCCAAGAGCTTGTGGCTAGGAAAATTGCCAATGAAATTAGCAGCAGTATTTATTACATTTTGCCACATCTTTCTAAACTGAAAACAAGGGGATATAGCTTGCCAAAGATTTTTTATGGAGAATCTGCAAATTGGAGAGGATACATCCCAGCAGTATAATAACCCTACTAGTCACAAGCATAGGGCTCCAAATTTATCAGCAAACACATTAAAACAGTTTGCTGATGCATTATTTGGGATTCTCACAGAGCCTGTTTTTACAACAGACAGATTTTATACTTTGAAACAGAATGTTACAGAATTAGCAAAGTTATTTGTAAGGTATGCACAGTATCTTGACTCATGTAATGAAGCTATGAGGAAAAACCATTCTTCGTTTGAACTGCTCAGATCTGCAAATGATGGTTCTTCCTCTGTGTTCCAAATGAAATGCTCTTAGAACACAAGTCATTATTGATCGCTACAAGTCACTTGAACTCAAATTAAGTTCTGTACCATTTTATGAGCCCCTACTTTTGAATGAATTTGCTCCTATTGATAGAAAAAAGAGATATAGATTCATTTCAGATTTATCTCTGCCCTACCAAACAGAAACATACAGTTATAGTGCAGGAAATTATGTTGGTTCATCTCATTTTGTGTGGCGTACACCACCATGTCCAGATTTTAATATGTCAAAGCAAGTTATGTCAGATGTAGACAAGAAAATACCTGTGTACCACACAAGAATGATGCGTTGGGAGTTTCAGTCAAGGTTTGAGGGGTTAGTCAATACAAAGCCTGTAATACTGCAAGAAATGTATCGATTTCTTACCAATGATAAAACACAGGTTATTAATGATATTTCAAAGGAGATGAAGGCAAGGTTAGACATTCTTATTCAAACTGGAGACTATGAAAACTTGATAGATCTCAGAGAGCTAAACAAAGACAAGCCTGTGAAATATGATGCGTTTTTTGATGGTGTACAAGCTTTTCTCAATAGAAATGCATTAGAAGCAGTTGATGAGAGAAGGCATGAGCAGCACACCCATATGGCCTTGGCAATTTCTGTCCATGATCTCAGAGAACAAGTCTCAAAAGACTTGCCTGAAGGTACAGCAATTCCCAGTGAAAACTATCTGAGGCTTCAATTTTGGCCTACTAACTCTTACTTCAGGTCCGCTATGTATTATACAGGGAAGTTCAATGTGAAATACATGGTTCAATCTCGACAGTTGCGCTCTCAGCATGTAGATTCCCTGTCAGAGTTACATAGATCCTGTTGAAAGAGTTATGTCTGTCTTGAATCTTGGTTTGCAGTCAGTTGGCATCATGCGCCAAGAAATGCCAAGAGGATATGAAAAGCAGATCAGTGGTTTAAATACAATGGCAGATATTAGAAACAAGGTTATGAAAAATGGTGCTCTGAAAAATGAGATTGATTCTTGTATCAAACCTGTTACTGATTGCTTGGAAGCGCACTTGGTAGACTAAGCTGGAAAGGAAAACAGATTAAAATTCAAGAAGCAGCTTCTGAGGTTGAAGTAGATGCTTTGTTTGATATACTTAAAAATCTCGAGCCAAATTTTGACAGAAAAAACATGCAACAGAAACACCTAAAAAATTATCCAGTTCTCCAGAAGTTCCTTGAAAGTCATTGTCAGAGGCATCATTACTTGTTCACTATGAAAAGGTGCAGAGATCAGGATTGTGCAGTCTGTACTATCTCAAGTGATGACAGAGTACCTATTGAGCTTTTGGAATCCCTCCACAAGTTTCCTCTTCCTGTTCCTGGTGATCAAGCAGATCATTACAAATCTTTTGATGAGGTATAAATAATTTTAAAAATATTCTTCATTGTATTTATTCTTAAACATCAGAATGTTAGTATATGTACTCAATTTACTAAAGTTTAAAGAAATATTTGTAGGTTTGGGGTTCAGTTCCTACAGAAAAGTTCAGGCCAAGTCTGGGAAGACTGTTGGATGAAAGCCAGGAGGTGGTAGTTCCATTCACTGTGTCTGGGGAAAACTGCAGAGGTTTTTATCAAGTGTGAAGTGTGCCTGAAACCAAGATGTTATTATGCACAGTGAGAAAATCATTCATTGAATAGTTTTCTTTCAATCTCATCATTTCTATCCATGTTTAAAATTGATAGTGTAAATGTACTTCAAATGTTTTGAGCTACATACTTTTTATGCAGAGCTGAATAAGGTGGTCATGATTCTAAATTTAAACATGGGAAAAGAAACAAAAACTAAAGATTCATATTTTAATAGGAAGAAGCTTACAGAGGATGAAGTTGTACAGGTGGAGGAGAGGAAAGAAGATGTGGAGTACACTTGTGGAGGGCAAATATTCCAAGAACCCTGCCTTGTGTTTGTAGAAGTAAAGGTACAATGATTTTCTTATAGTTGTGATACATATACATTGTACACCAATTAAAGTTTTATTTCAAAACTAAACAATATTGAAAATTGAAAGAAAAAACACACAGCATATGTTAAATTCTAAGATGATAAATGAAATACTGTCATCATAAATTTTAATTGTAGATAACCTGTGAGTCACATGTGTCAAGTAACTATTACCATAAAAGGAAAAATTTTCACTTGGTTTGCTATGTTTGTGGTGATGAAAACCCATTGGTTGTACCTCCTGATGTAATTGAAAGCCACTCATCTGCTCACCCAGTATGCATGGTGTGTTCACAGAAAGGATACAAACCCAGATTAAGGAAAAAAAGTCTTTGTTGGGAAAGCGCAAAAAATGACTTAAATTTGAATATGAAATCTTAAATATGAACTTTAATTTGGGGCAGACATGTATATTGATAAACATGATAAAGTCACAAAATATGTGATTTTCAATAGACTTGAACTTAATTTCAATTCCTACAGTATGTAGCATTTGACATTGTTGAGTTTTTGTTCACCGAGTAAGTGAATTTTAATAAATACACATTTGTTTAAAATTTTTGTTTGTTTTTTTTTCCTCCCTCCCTCGTAGCTTTTTGAACTTTGATGTGACGTTAAACGTAGAATTAATTTTAAGCAGCCTAATATGTCTTCGAAAGTCCTCCAAGAAAAACCTGCCACGAGTAAATGTCCTGTCAATTCAATCTTGTTTCTATTTATAATGAATTAATTGATACATCTTGCTATCATTCACAATATTGATTCAAATTGTTTTGATAATAATTAATATGCTTGTTCACATGGACCTAAAATAATTTTCATTGATCAATTTCAGCATAGATGAGTACATTGTTAAAAATTTCTTTTCACGTGGTAAATCCTTTTTATATTCTACTCCAAGAAGTTTTGAACTAATATTTGAGTATTTCATTCACAATGAATATTTAAGGTTAGAAAAAACAGAAATCCCTGACCGAGGGACCATGAATTTTATACTAACACGCAAAAGAAACGCAACATCCTACTTTAGGGGGAAATAATCATGTAAAGTAAAGAATTTTGTATCTTAAAATTATGGATATCTTCAATTTGGTAAACATCGGTAATTTAACGGTTGAACGATTTTCATACCATAACCGGAAGTCAAGTTTGCGTCTGCTTAACAGAAATCAAAAATTGCATGTTTAACAAAACATTTGGCAATATTATGGAGTTTAAAGGGTTCTACTGTTCATCATAAGTAATGCAGCAATATTTCAAATAATAAACTCTCCTTTCGTTTCCCGTAATGATGCTAAGTCTTCTTGAAAATGGCTTAAGTACGCATTTCCATTGCTCTAGCTGGAAAATTTCAATGTAAAGGTGTGGCTGATGCAAAAATTCACTACATTACACCTCAACAGGGTCTTATGTATCATTGCTAGCGCTCTCGAGCGCTAGCAATTACATTAGTCCAAATTCCTTGAATACGCATGCTCGGCTTCACGGTCGTGCATTCTGGGAAAACTGGGAAAACTACTATAGTTAGACCGTTCGATAAAAAAAAAATCATCGTATCATTAAATAACTTTGTTTATTTATTGTGTAGCTCACACATTAGTGATAACTACAAAATTGTAATACTTCAAATGTTCCCCTTTTTCTGACGGAAAAGCCCGAGTCATTATTTGATTGTTCTAAATAAAGGTTACGTCAAGACCTCATCACCGTAAAAATTTATTCTATATGCTCGCAATCATGACCCAAAGGACCAAGCTACTTCACATCCTCACATTCGGAACTCTCTGGAAACTCCAATGGGTCAACACAAAAACTTCACTCCCCCTCGTTTCTTTACCTATGTGTCTATAAAATACTCATAAATTTTTTTTATAACTTTATCACACCCCAGCCTCGATAAACACTAAAAAAAATACAGCAAAATAAATCACTTTAATTGATCACGGACCTTCCTTTCTATTTTTAAAAATTGCTACGGTGCTAGCTCACCTGTCTTTTTTAAAAGATAAACTTGTATGCATTAAGGACAGTCCTTGTACCGGAAGTCCAAGGGTGGCTACTACTCTTACTTGGAGAAAATTCGACCTAATCATCTGAAAAAAGGGCATTTAAAAATGGCAAAGAATAATTCCTACGCTCAGATCTCGATATTGATGAACCCACTGTATAGTAGAAATTAAGCTGCAATTGTTGCTTAGGGCAGTCTTGCAGGTTTTACTTGAATGTCCTTGAGGGGGTGTTTTAACAGTCATATGTTACTTAGTAAAGTAAACAGATAAACATTTAACATTTTTATCAAATCTCTGATATTCTGAAAAGTGAGTTTAGCCTTACTGTATTCATTTTTAAAAATCATTAGATAAAAAAATCAAACATTTGTAGATTACTGCTTGTTGCGTTTCTTTTGTGTTTCAGTATATAATTTTAGAAGAGACATGTCAATAGTTGGACTACGCCTGAAAATGGACGGATATAAATATAGAATGCAATACTGACCTAAAATAACCCATACCAGTATTTGCCAATAAAAAAAGTTGACTTGAAAGTCTTAATAAATACATATCCAGGTTTTGTTTCAGAATGTGATATTGGGTATTATGGTGCCCTTTGTCTTTAAATATGTCATTATCCACGCTATGGAGAAGGTTGTTCAGAAACATGCCTGTGTGATGAAAATCTTTGTAATTTTGTGACAGGATGTGAAGATGAAGGTATTATATATAGCACCATTGAATTTATACAATTTGATTGGAAAAGTATTAAATATTTATTAATTAATTAGGGAAGTAACCATTTCAATATTTATGCCCCCGTAAACGAAGTTTCGGGGGTATATATTTTTTTTCGTGTCCGTCCGTCTGTCTGTCTCTCTGTCGGTCTGTCTCTCTCTCTGTCTGTCTATTTGTCTGTCATGTTTCACATGTGTATCCAATGTTACAAGACCTTTCTTTGTGTACCACCAAATTTGACCTTTTGACCTTGACCTTGGAGTTTGACCCACTTTTACATGAAAATTTTAAACTTTTACTTTGGCCATATCTTTTAAACAGTAGATACCAGGACATTTCCACTTTACATATGTAATTTTTGTTGAAAGACCTTTCATTAGATACCAACAACCTTTACCCTTTGACCTTGACCTTGTAGATTTCCGTACTTGTGAAAAAACTTTAACCTTGGCCATAACTTTTGAACAGTAAGGGATAGGGCTTTCATACTTCATATCTGTAATCCTTGTGAAAAGACCCTTCATTAGATACCAAGAACTTTTACCCTTTGACATTGACCTTTGAGTCTGACCTACCTTAAAAAAGCAAACCTTGACCAAATCTTTCAAAGGGTTAGGGCTAGTGCTTTCATACGTTACATATTTAATCCTTGTGACAAGACTTTTTAATTGATAACAAGAACTTTGATCTTGACCTAAGAGTTTGACCTACTTTTAAAAAAAATTAACCTTGGCCATAACTTCTGAACGGTTAGGGCTAGGACTTCCATACTCTATATAAGTATTCTATGTGGCAAGACTTTTCATTGGATACCAATTACCTTGACCTTTTGACCTTGACCTTGGAGATTTTTGTACTTATTGAAAAAACTTTAACATTGGCCTACTTTCAAATTTCACAATTATTTTCCAGTGAGAATACCCTACTTTTGGTACCAATTAAATTTGCATTTAAGAAAAGTTTAATCTTTACTATGTTGCCATACGGGGGCATCAGTGTTTCACAAACACATCTTGTTATCTTTAGTCATCCTGAGTCGAGAGAGGGCACACAAACAATATTTTAATGTTGACCTTTTTACAAGCAATATATTCATTTAAAGATTCTCTTTACAGATAATTAATTAATTTATTTGATGTATTTACTAGACTCATTTTCATATAATGTAGAAGTACTTTTTCCGCGTGGTATTAATTTACGTGGTCACAAACTTTCCGCAGAAATTTGTCCAAGCGTACTTAATATAAGTGTGAGGTATATAGTGACAGTCCAAGAAATCCGCGTACTTTTCTACCCGCGGATTAAACAGAAATTGAGATTCCGCGGAATTACAACCCCGTGGAAAAAAGTACGTCTACAGTTTTGGTTATATTCAATAAAGGTTCTCCTGCATTGCGCCTGAATGAATTAACAGAAACACCATCCATGATAATTAACGTGACAGGTGAGTACTCAAAGTAATAAAAAAACAATATTTAAGGTATCTACATGTATTTGCCATATTTATTCATACACGTACAACTTACACCTTGATCCCCGTGTCAAAGTTCAATTTATGTTCAAGGAAGAGTGATTTTAAAATTGATTAATATTGAAGCATATTCCTGGAAATACTTACCAAGGGTTTATTTACAGTGTATCTGATAATACCCTCGTATGTATTAAGTGTCATCACATATGATAGTCAACGTTGTTAAAACATTCTCTAGGGCTAAGGCGGTGCACAGTTTGAAAGCATTTTAATAAAAGTAATAACATCGGTTACTGTTGAGCCCCTTATCTACACAATTGCAATTTAACAAAAAAAAAATTAGTTGAAGGAACCGGAAATTATTGATATACTAACTTAAAATTCTATACTGCAATTAGGCAAATAATTGAATAACGACTCTACAAACGTATAGCCTACATAATTTTTTGGGGTGTGTTTTTTAATAACCATGCCAACAGTTTGACTGTTATTGACCAGGAGTAGGGTAGCAATCGGTTACCTAAGTTACTTAGATGACCTATAAATATACTGGTGGTTTTGATAAGATTCAGATGATTATTATGTAAGTGCGCAACAAATTATAACTGGTTTCGAAAATTCAAAAGGGCAAGCGAAGCGAGCCATCAGAATAAAAATATGAAGACGTTGAGAAGATATTAACTTAAAAGGGGTAGGGGTGAATTTTCACCACAACAGCACCAGTCAAGTCGGTATATCCGTCTGTCTGTCCGCCTGTCTGTTACGCTTTTGGGGTATCCATCTCTTATCCAAAACTCCTCCGATACCACAGAATGAAATTTGATGAGACTTTCACAGAATCTTGCCATTGTGCACCTACTATTTTACTTTTTAATCCGACTCTTATTTTGGGTTTCCCGTAGCAAAACATGGACACTTCCATTATATTTATCTTGGAGGTGGGGATATCATTTAATGAGCTCATTGCTCAGAGGACATCTAGTTTATATACCTGTCAGTAGGGAATAATTTTTTAAAATCAAGGACGGGCTATTTCTGTCCAAAGCAGAAGCCTCTGACTCCTCAGAATTTTATAGTCATTCCCTTACCTCGTGATTTTTCCCCTGAAATTTATATGAATATTCATTTCATTTTTATCCAGGTTATAGAAAGGAGAACACTGATGGCCTGTCAACACTTACGTTGGTGAAAACAAAAGGACTACTTAGTGAGTTCACATCTTGTTTTAAAGTCAAAAGATTCAAGTCTACACAAAGCTTACATGTATGCGGTCAAAATTAATACAATATTAATACAGGGAAATTTTCGCCCCAGTTTTATTTTCGTCCCTTTCGCC